AACAGGGGTGGGGGTGGGTGGGTCCCCCCCCCCCCCTTTCTCTTGTAGATCTGGACAACACTGAGAAGAATGAGAAGCTGAAGTTCAGTATTGTCATGAGGCTTCCTGAGGTAACTAATAGCTTTGGATGTCATTTCCTGGATTTTGGAATCGATAGGAAATTCCTCCCTCTGCATAGGACCAAGCCAATAGAAGACTTGGCTGTGATTCAACTAGGGCACAGATACAACCGAAACCTCCACAGTTTACCTGTAGGGTACACTGACAACTTAAATCATAGATTTGTCCATAGAGTTTTAGTGTCTGCAGTACCTACAGGAATCAAATAGACAAGACTGACACTGTTCTGCTGAGTACTCCTCTGCATAAAGCAGTAAGGAGGTTTAAAGGGGATTTAATGGGTTTTAAAGAGGATTTATTTGTGTGTGTGTTTTATAGCATCCACAAATGCCTTTCTCACTTCTCCATTTGGTTTTATTCATCTTATCAAATATGTTCAAAAGCTGGCACAGTAAAAGCTGTAAAATCTGATCATATCTCAACTCTGGTGGGGATTGAATTACAAGATCTCCCCCTGTGAAATCGCCCAGCCTCACCCATTGGTAGGTGACTCGTTTAGCCACAGGCTCAAAATAATAACTGATGATCCATTAAAACTTCCAACAGAATGGGCGATTGACTTCCCCTTTTGTTCTTAGTGCACAGCCCTGCAGAGGAAGCATGACATCTCAGTGAGCAGAGGAAAGCCAGGGATCCCCCTCGGGGAGTGCCTTGCTGTAGAACAGGCTTTTCTCAACATAAGTTGCTTATTGTTTGCTCATTATGGGCTGTTACGTATAGTTCAAATGGCCAGAAGTGCTGCTTTGCTTTTCCTCTAACAAGAGCTTCTTTATTTGGCAGCAGTTTTGAGAAGGGGTAGGGAAGGAGAACTCCACAAGTGGTTCTTTGTCCTCTGTGCCTTGTTTCGGGCATGGGTTGGTGAGCTGGGGTCAGCACGGGGCCTCTCAGCTGTCAGCCCCAGGCCTGGTGGGTGGGGAGCACCACTCCAACCCTGCTTTGACATGAAGGGCTGAGCTGTGAGTGCTCTAGGGGACATGCACTGCTAGTTACCCGCAGCAGGCTCAGTGCCTTATTGTATCTATTTACAGCTTTGGGAAAAACCGCAGAGAATAGTTTGTTTGCCAAAAGGGACACTTTGGGGTGACTCAGACTATTTTGGGCAGGTTACATTTGCTAGAGGACTGCAATTGCATCAGAAGCAAGTATTTGAGCACCGTTGAAACTGCCCAGCATTTCCTAAATGAACTCTTTCAGTAGTCTGAATTGCAATACGACTGAAAGTGAGGGGGGGGGAGGTCTAGATAGGGGAAATAGCAGAAGGAGGACTAATTTTGCAGTGTGTTCATATTTGTTTGCTTATTGGTTAGGATTGGAAGCTTTGGGACATCTGGGTTTGAATCTCCCTTGCCTTTGCTAATGTGAATCAATGTTATCAATTCCCAGGACGATGTCTTCAGTAATGGGATGCAAATTCTGTTCCCAGTATCTCTTCTTGTCGGTGTTCTGCTTTTGTAAGATTCCTTAGACTGAGCCTGGGGCATCTGTGTTATTCTTTGGAAGAAGAAAGGATCTAAAGAGTCACAGTAAAGGATTTTAAGCCGCAGTTAATATTTAAGTACACATGCAAAGTGGGACAGAGGTCATGGGACAGACTGATTGTTAGAAACCCCCTGAGTAGCTCAGTGGGTACTGAGTAACTGAGTAGCAAGGTTTTGATTTTCCCATGTTTTGGGTGCATATTGTAATCTCTTAGTTAACCGGGTATGAAAGGAAGGCTCTGTGGCTAAAAATGATGATGTCTTAGCTTCTGTCATCAGTGTCTGAAAGCAAAGCAGTCTGTTACAGCCTGGATTTTGTTTCTGTTTTCCTCCTTTTCCCCCTCCTACGTTTCTGCTGTCCTGTGTTTATGTACTCAGGTTTTTGTTTGGGTTTTTTGGTGTGCTTTCTAGGCTCTTGGTCAAAAAGTTCTCCAATTTTGGAATCACCCAATAAATGCTAATTTCATTGCACGGAAATATGTGAAACTTTTGCTTGAGAAGCTGGGAAGTGGGCAGGTAAGAGCACATAGGTAATTTTTCTAAGCTTTTGCTTTGACAGTGCTGAGATGCATGACTTTCCTGTAGACTGTAACACGCTAAAGATAATGCTGCAACTTGGCTCTGTGCGACTTTGTGAACTAAGCTGAAATATTCTCCCTTTCAGTGTAGCAGGCCTATCCCTGAGAGACGCTCAGTCCCTGTGGAGTTTTTGCCACTTAACTACCTGACTAATATGCTGGCAGAGATAGAGAATCAAGGTAATGTTAATTCTGTGCTTTGAAAGACCAGTAACTGTTGCCCTTTGATGCTCATGCTCAGCTGTATTCTGACTATATTGACATAACTGAGTTCTAAAACTCCGGTGATACCTGAACGGGCAGGTTTGGTTGTCTTCCCGCTGATAGGAACTGTCAGGGGGCTCCTTCGCTGCACATCCTTTCTTCCAGATCCTCTGTGTGTTGAATCCAGTTGGCAAATTTGCACTTTTCAGAGTGCACGTAGTGAAACGTGGGTCACATACGGCTGTTGTTCTGTGTTCAAAGGGGGAGAAGCACTTGATCCTTATTTATACACTATGGTGGCTCAGAGGCAACCAAAATCCTATCTTCCACCTCAGAAGAGAGTACCCACATCACTACATTAGCAGATGCTCTGAAGTAACAGGCATTGTTTTATTTCAATGCTGTTCCTTTTTTTGAAATTAAATTTAAATTGGTTAGGGCACTTGCTTCACACAGTGAACCCGAGCATCTGAAGATTCTGAATCCCACTGAAAAAGCAAGGTGTGTTAAGGGAAGCATTATGCTTTTAAGCGTTACTGGCTGTGCCTGTACTAGTAAGCACATTAAGTCAGGATAAGGACCTCAAGGCTAACATAGGGTTGTCCATGTATGGGTATCACCCCATTTGGGGAGGCAAAAGAGTTTAACCATATAGAAGCATACGAGAACGTGCCCTGGTGTGTTTTATGCACTAGCACAAACATAGCCACTGTGCTTAAATCTTGGTTTGGATCTACAGGGTGGCATTAGTGTGGAAATCCCTGGCGGCCTCCTGAGATGGTCTGTCCTTTACTTATAGCCCACATAACAGGAGAATTTTTGCCGTGGGTGAGCATCCAAAGGACTCTACTGAGAGCTGTGGGTACTTTGTGTACATGAAAACACAGTTCCACCCATGACCTTACCTTCCAGTATCGTAGATGACGATGTTTAACAGACTGCAGGATTAAGTGTACAAGAACACTTCGGATTTTGTCAAGACTAACTTTCTCCCACTGTTGTTCTAGGCGTGCATCCGCATGAAAAACAAGACCATGTTAATGTAAGATTTGTAGAGGAGACAGCACTCAAACACACTGTGACGCTTTTAGGCCTCAAATATTCCTGAAATAACACGCTGTTGAAGAAGGCGAGCTGTGGTACCCTTACATAAAAGTATTCACACACAAGTGTGCAACCAACTTTTTTTGGTGTTTGTTTTAAACTTAAATGTCATGTTGTTTTCCAAATAATCTGCAGTTTTGTGTAGCCACCATTATTGACATAGGTTACTCAAAATATTCTTTGGTGCAACCTATTAAGGCTGAAATCACTGACTTCCAGATAAATCCTAGAGAAATTTGTCTGACACGAACCCAGGTTTCCAGTGAAAGGTAATTATGGCTTCATTGTTTCATGTTCAAATCAGTGGAACTACAGCAGGTATCAAAACACGCTGTGAAATTTGATATTAATGTCAATTATTTTAACATCCTGAAAAAGGTAATATAATATATTGTAAGCAGCACAGGATAAGAAAGAAGTTCTTTCGAAAATTACCTTAACAGTGGCTTGGACAAAGTTTTACTTCATTCTTTCAACTTTTAGCGTTACAGTTCAAACCTCAGCTTCAAAAAGAAATGGCCATTGTTTCTCCTTCATTTTCAACTTTTATTTGTACAGAACTGAAGCAGTTTTGGTTTTTTGTTTTTTGCTTTTTTTTTTTAAGTTCTGAACTGTGACATTAATTTAAAAGAGTAACAGCAGTTTGCTGTGCAGAGAAAATTTTGAGTTCTGACATGTAGGATTTCTGCAGTCTTTATGGGATTTATAAACAGCTCTATCAAAGTTTCAGACTAATAAACTAGTGAAACTCAGACAATTTGATAGATTTTGAAGGTTTTCAATAGCAACCTCTGATATTCTCTCTGAGTAGTTTCCACTGATGCTTCCTGTTCCTAACCAATAAAATAAACAGATCCAGTTCTCAGGAGTGACTTGGCAAGTTCACGGTCATTCTCTGGTCATGGCCATCAGTGGAGCTTCCTCAGTAACTGCACGGAGGGAAGGAATATTTTTCTCAATATAATTAAAATGAGTCTGGCAAGTGTAAAACCCAGTCCCAGACTGCAGGAAGCTGTGCTGGTGTATTTGTGTAAGCGGCGGGGACTGTGTTCGTATTATATTAATGACAAGAGAAGATTTTTCTAGCCTTTTCTTTTTAATGGAATGTATTATAAAATATAATCAGATGCAATAAAACTTTCCTGGGGAAAAAAATAAGCGTAGTATGATGATCACTCATTTTTCTTAAGCTGTTAAAATACTGCACTGCGTTTGGGGTACCAGGCTCCTCCTGGCCAGAAGGGAACTTAGATCTCGACTATGTAGCTGGCATTAACAGCTACTCCGTCTTGAATATGGAATTTGGCTAAACGCTAACGAACATTCCTCCAATGTAGTGCAAATACTGTTGACCCTGAGATTCAGCAGCTGGTAGTGGCCTCTCCTGCATTAGGTTCAGACTTCAATTGGCTTTACAATGGGTTTTCTGAAATGTCTCATATTTGAACCAGGTTCACTTGGTTTGAAAGGAGCCAGAGCGCCGTAGGGCCGCGGCAATGGGAGACTGTATTCGTCATCTGGGACGTAGGCGGTTGGGCGTTGTTCAGCTGTCGTGTGGACAGAGCCGGGCACTGCGGCTTGTTCCTCTTCGGCAGCATGCTGTGAAAGAAACACCCTTTGATCACTTAGGGAGTACGTGCTTTAAAACTCCAGTACTCTCCCAGCCAATGTACAGAATGCCTAACAAAGGAAGCACCGTTAGACTAATCCTTACCAAACCAGGAAACCCAGAGGGGTCTTAAAGGAAAGCAGGAGTTAACTGACCACATAGGTGTGAGTTTGTCCTTTTAAATAGAATACAGTTTGAGCCTGTAATGCTTCTGCTATTTGTGAAGAAAACAGATTAGATGAACTTTTAAAAGTTTTAGTAAGTGTACACAGAACATCTCAGCAAGGGGATAATTGTTCTGATGCTTGCAACTGCAGCTGTATTTATGGGGACAGCAGCTTTTCCTGAGTACAGTTACTGCAGTGACCTTGTATACGCAGCACTGAAAGGAAACTGAGTCATAGCCTGAGGAGAAGTGTTAACGACAGAGAAGTTTCTTACTCTAAACCAGTTTTACTGCAGCTGTTTTGTGTGACTTCAAGTTCTTTAAGTGTGTGCACAATGTGTTCCTCTCCCAGCTTTGTGTGCCTTTCAGATTCCCTTGGGGTGATTGACTAAAGCACTCTTACGGCAAAGCTCACTTCCCAGCAGCAAGAATTCCCTCAGTACACGCGTCTCATTTTTATACAACTTTCTCTGCTTTGGGAGCTTTCTGCGCAGGGATCACCGATGGTCCCAGCGAAGGAGGCATGGTGTAGCATCCGGCAGGGTGGAATTGGAAGCACTGCTCACTAAGCTGCCCTGCCTGCCCTCCGTGTCTCGCCCAGCAATCTGATTTCTTGCTGCTTCTGATGTGATGTTCACTGCATCTGGTATGTGGAAGACACTAAACTTTTATTTTTCCTGAACCCCACACCCCACCTTTTGCAGCTTTACCTTGAAACCAACTGGAAAGCAATACCTCAGTGGTGGCTCTCACACCCATCATTCCAAAACACGGTCACACAAATTACTTTAATAATTGAAGGTGTGTGTTCCTTTTAGTGTAATGTGTTCTCTCCTCGGGATCTGATGCCCAGTTCTAGGCGCTGTGCCAGACTGCAGTTAAAGCTCCACAAACCCACAGCATCCCACGTCACTGCATGTCTTTGCACCATCATCATCCCTACTGACTCCTGGAGCTCCGCGTATGGCAGGGATCAGCTATCAGTGAGCTAGCACAGCTCTTTTAGAAAGACAAGCTTGAGCAGTGAAAAGATGGGGCTGCAGATCTAACTGCAACGTGTGGCAAAAACTTACTTTGGCTCTGGCTTCAGCTGCTGCTTTTTGCATCTTCTCGTTATGTAATATTTTCAACCACTCATTTTCTGTTTCTTTGGGAGGGGGAAGGCCTTGCTCTATCCTCGATGAAACAGTCATCAAAAATTGTTCTTTTTCTCTCATTTCCTGCTGGAGTTTAATGGCAAGCGCTTGCTTCATGGATAACTCCGCGACAAGAGCCATGATCTTCTGGGTTCTGTCCCTTATCTTCTTCTGCAGTTCGTTTGTCTGGAGCAAGTAACAATGGCAGTTTAGTTAGGGCTTCTCTTTAGCAACTCACTCATGGGCACAACACTTGGGTAAGTACCAAGTATGCAAAAACAAGTCCAACTTCACTCTGTTTTAAAAAATAGTTCCATAGTTGAAAATGACTTAATGAAACAGGCCCTGTGTTTCTCTGTGCACTTGGAACCACAGAAACTTGCATAAAAAGTCACATTTATTCCAATACAGGGTACAGAAAAGCAAATTTCTATTTATCTCCTGCCTTTTTCAGCTGAATAGCAAAACTCCCGCTGCCCTCAAAGGCAGACTCCACTTGCCCTTGTGCACAATTAACTGTGATAAAGGTGTCATAAGCCTGCTCCTTACGAGTTAATTGAGTGATAATGTGGACACAGCGGGGGGCTGCGGTTGGGAAGTTATCCTTGGCAGGGGGATGAGCAGAAAAGGAATGGGACAGGAATCCTTCAGTCTGACTGGGCATGCTTTAAACAAAAAAACCTGACAGAACTCAGATACTCTGTCTTAAGTGACTAATAGGCAATTGGAGATCAGAGCACATGGATGTAGCTTTTGGCAGGCTGCCATTTTTACTGTAGTTTATTAGCCTACAGCCATGATTTCACAAACCCAAATAACAGCCATGTTGTTTCTCTGTCTGTGGAAAATTCAAGATTTACTATAAAGATGTATTTTGTGTTAAGCCTTTCCAAGGGCCAAACCTAACACCTAAGGAAAAAAAAAAAATCAACCCTGGCCCTGTTTTACATGAATTACTTTGCTTTTTTTCTTTCCTCTCTCTCTCTCCTGTCTTTCACTCAGCTCTGCTTTATTTGGACCTTTTACATTAAGGAGGTGGGGGTGAGAGGATTTTTGCTCTTCCCCAAACAATATTACTGGCAGTTAAAAGGAAATAGCTATAATTATGTAAAAGTAACTGTATTGAAAATGATATTTCTTTCCTGTGTTCTCCATACCTAAGACAGAAACTTGGAGCCAGATATCAAGCTTATCTTTTTCTGTGTTGGAGGGATATAGAACTTATCTTTTCCCTATTTCTTTTTATCCATAATGTGTTTGTCGTGGAAGGGCTCTCCAGGCAAAAGGAGGATTCTCCCAAGTTTCTAAGCACTTGACCTGAGAAATAACTAGTCCTGTAATTCGGTGAAAGGTACTGCTCATGATGCAACTTTCTTTCAAAAAGAAAGCACGCTCACCTAATGCTCTTGCCATATCTATGTTAGTGTTACTACTAAACGTCTATAATTTCTGAAGACTAACATACGACTTGACGATCAATATTTCCAGCCACTAGTTTTGTAATTTGCAAGTGAGTCATCTTACCTCTTGCCCAGATATTATTTCATTCTGCCTAGGCCGGCCGAGCGCACAATGCCCTTCTTACCCTTTTCGCCAGCAGCAGCGTGTCCTGCTTCCCGTCCTCTGCCCTGGCCCGGATTCTGTCCGTCAGCCGGGAAACATGCTTGTAGAGAAAATCTGTCTCCAGCAGCTTCTCCTCCTTCTGCACCAGCTCCACCTCTAGCTGCAGTGAGAAGAGTACACAAGGTAAAAGACAGCGGAAGGTGCAACACAAGGTGTTTCTGTGATTGCTTTGAGAGCTGCTGAAATAATACCGGTAACAGCCATAAATAATCACTTCATCAGTTTTCTCAATCTTTTTCACCCTCTCTGCCAAGTACCAGCCGCAGTTGGTTCAGTTGGATACTGTCAGTCGTACAGTTCTTCCCTGTCAGACCAGGCCCTTTGGGGGCAAGGGTTACACCAGCAGTGTTACTGCCTTGCTGTGATTTTTCTTGAAAGCAATGATTTTTTTGTCCAGTGATTATTTTTTTTTTCTTTTTTTAAACTTCTGGTTCCTTGAGTCATGTCATAATGAGAAGGTTTCAGCTCTTGCTTGAAATAATACCTTTTTCCTCCCTGCTGCTAAAAAAAAAAATAAATATAGGCTCCAAAGATTAAAAAAAGAGAATACCACGCAACTAAAAGGACTTTAAAAGCATGAGGAGAGTGAAAGAGAACATTACATTTATCTCACGACTCCAAAAGCCTGGCTTTTCACTGTGTGGGGTGGTAATAGCGGGCTCTGTTGTAGCCTGCTTGGCCATGCAGAGCTCCCTCCTGCCAAGGAATATGTGAAAGTAAAGCAAAAAGCTCGAGTAATTCAGGCAGCTACTGGGAAGCGGTGGTGGTAAATCATTACAAACGGGATTTCAAAAGGAGCACTTCCACCGTGTGCTGCTCCGAGCTTGCCGTTACCTGAATACCTTCACAGCCCCCTGTGAATCCCCCCAACACTAAACACAGTGGGGGGAGTTTTGTGCCCCTATAAATGGGACGGGCACAAAGATCTAAGAAAATACCATGGTTGCTCATTCCATTCCTTTACCTTCTCACATACCGGATGTGCCCTGAAACCAACTTTAATTTTGGACCTAATCCTTCGTTTTGAGGCAGCTGACAGCATGGCGGTCAGGTGGGCAGCTGCTTGGCTGGCCTGGCTGCCGCTCCCCGAAGCTCTGTTCTGGGCTCCCTGTCCGGCACGGGACCAAAGCAGTAAAGCCAAAGTCTGAGCAGGTGTTCGATTCTGTGTCCTGCGTGCAGATGTTGAGAAGAGGGGTGTGGGTCTGCCTCCCGCTCACAGCCCGTACACAGGGGTGGAACAGCTGAAGGCCAGTTGCAGAAGTGACAACTTGGTTTGGTAGCAGTTCATTCTGCATTTGTTTCCTTCTGCCACCTTTCCTGTGCCTTTGAAGCCTCAGTGAAGCGGGAGGGTCTGCACGGACGTGCCGAGGTGTGAACAGACAGGCTGGCAGAGGGTGCTGCGGAGCCAGGTGCGCTACACAGAGCTGGTGTGTGCTCCTGCTCTCCAGCCTCTGCTGGAAGAAGTCAAAACATCTGATGTCCAGTTTTCCTGGAAAGCAGATGCTGGGCTGGAGTTCCTGTTAGCCAATCATAATTATTTTAATTCCTCTTACAAAAATAAGTTTATTTTAAAAGAATAAAAGGTACTATTTGCCTTTTCTAAACGAGGTCAATCAGCATGAGAGCTTGTGACATGAGAAGTGATGTTACCTGCTCAATCTTTTTTAGCAGCTCAGGTGGAAATGGGTCCTTCCCGCCCAAGTCTCGCTTTCTAGTCTCGTTCATGGGATCAGCAAAGATTGCCTCCATCTGTTTAATCCTGTCCTTGCACTTGGAATACTAGCAAACAAAAAGCCACAACAGTTATTTTTTTCAGACAAGAAGCCGAAAGCCCCACTGTTACTGCATGAGCAGAGGTGGAAGGTCTCAGTTTATGCCAGGCAAACCGCAGTAAAGCAGCCTGGGTGTACCGGTGGATGGCGGCACTGCCAACTCCTGGGCTCAGCAGCATGGCTCCAGCTTTGCTGGGAGACACTTGGGATGCCCAGGCGGTGCAGGACTGAGCAAAGCGATACTGGTCAAACGATGGGAAACATTTCCCTGTGAAAACAGAGGTAGATTAACGTCTTTCTGCTGTCCTGTTGCTAATGAATGGGAATTTGAAAAACAGTAGATTGCATCACAGGTCTTCCCTATAATGCACAAATATAAATTAGCTTCATCTTTTTAATGGTTTAAATGTCTTGAACACTTGTTCCTTTGACTCCTCCTCCATGTGCCATACAGCCACCTAAAATAGTGTGTAAATATTTCAGCCACACAGGAGAGGCTTTTTCTCTGAGCTACCAGGTATCATAAAAACCCCGGACTGGAAGATGATTTTCACCTTCTGAACATGTTTGGGAAGTCAGAAAGAGGCTGTCCCAGGGAGTGACACCTTCTGCTGCTGGTGGCCTGGATGAAAAGCCGCAGATGGCTTGTCCCAAATTACGTCCTCTGGGCCATAGCATGTTGGGCTCAGGGCCACCCCCAGAGCTGCTCTCAGCGGGCGGGGGGGGTGGACCATGGTCACTGGGGCAGGGCAGCGAGCTGAGACCCACCACAGCTACAGCCCCGTCCTGAGGAGGGAGAGGAGCAGTGGGAAGGGTGGGAGCCCCCACTGGCCCCCGCTTCCTTCCCCTCCCCAGGACTCTACAGCCCGGCCAAGCCGGCACCTGCTGGGGCAGAGGCGGCTGTGTGGGGGGGCAGCAGTGGGTGCCCAGGGCTCCTCACAGTTTAAGCACGTCCCCACAGACTTTCTCAACACTAACAGACAAGACTTCCTTGTGCTGGGGGAGGGGACAGGGGTTAATACAAAGGATTATGAGCCTTTTTTTTTTTTTTTTTTAAGGAGACAATGGTGTGACAGTTGCAGGATGGAAGCAAACCCTGCTGTCTGCCAGAAATTGGGTCCCACCTGCTGCTTCATCCTCCGGCTATATCTTTTATCCTCAGGAATACATCAGATGTTTGGGGTGGAGGGTCTTCCTTTATTCCCTACAATCTTCTCTTTGGCCCACAGGATCCACTTATGGATGCAGGAAGGAAACAAGTGCCTGACAGTTTGGTTGCAAGCTAAACCTGAAAGTCCTGCTTCCCTGCTGGTTAGTGCTAAAGGTCTCGTCCCTGCAGGTATCCAAGTTTTCTATGTCAAAGTTCCCAGGCACATGTCCTGAAGTGACTCAGTGGTGACACTGAGCCATGCGGTACTCCCGGGGCCCAGAGAGGCAGGTGTTCCCTGACCTTTCCAACATGAGATCTTCCCATGGAATATCCCCTCCCAGAAGAGGCTAGGTAGACATCCATGTTTCACACAAATACTGACGGAAGGAGTGTCTGGAGCATTTTTTTCCTGCTTGGACTTGCAGGACTGACAGTGGTGGGGTTTTGTGCCTTGATACACACCTGGCCATCTGTCAGCACATTGTCACTCCCACCTTGATCTATTAGCTCTAACATAACATGACCCAAGTAAGTAGCTGTAAATGCTAACCATCAATTGTAGGTGATGATACTACTAAGCAAAGAAGGGGTCACTGGTTCTTAAAGTTATGAACAGTCAGCAAAAAGACAAAGTAAATGTTTAGATGTTGCTACCAGGGCGGGGGTTGTTCACTGGAAGTTAACAAGTCATGTTTAACGGGAAAAGGGAAAAGGGACAGATCAGCTTGGGTGATATGGAACCTTACCAAACACTTGTCGTCTTAGTTCTTTTTCTGGTAAAAAAGCATCACACAGCTCTTTCTTTCACACTTTGTCTAAGGTCAGGCAACGTAAAAACCTTAAATTACTGTAATGAATGATTTCCTTTTCAAATCATGATTTGGTTTAAAATGAATGCCATTCAGTGCGTAACTAGTTTCAGGGATACCGAAAGATTTATTTATTTTAATTATAAACAACTAAAACTCAAGCCCAATTAATAGACAGAGCGAAAGAATGTGAGAGCAGGACTAGCACGAAGAACAGGATGCAGGAATGATTGGAATGCTTCCACTGATGTTTCATATCTGGGGCCAAATTTCTCAACTACTAACACAGCTGAAAACGCCTTGTTGGAGGCAGTGGTACCCTAATGAGATTAGGGATGGCTCACTGAGTAAAAGTTTGCAGGATTGAATAGTTAGTTTAGAGAAGGACTGTTGCAGCCAAAACACTGTCCAACCCAGAAAAAAAAATCTATTAAAAATTTCATGTTAAACTTAAATACTAGGCTTACTCTAAATGCAATATGAAGTGGGAGTGATTAGATGCAGGCTAATCCAAAAGTATCACAAAACGTGATGGAAAACAAAAGTATGGAAAACAAAGCACATTAAGAGATAACCACGCTATTCTGTGTCTGCTTAAGTGATGTGCCTATAGCCACCTTTTTCACCAAATTTTCTCCTAATTTGTAGTGTTTTCCTTGGACAAGGCTTTATCTGAGTACTAAGAGATTCTAAGTCTTAAAACAAACAAAAAATCCTTTCTTTCTTGGAGTGGATTTGATGCAGTGGCTGGGAAAAGGCTCTACAAGAGAGGCTTTCCTACGTTTGATTGTAATGAATCAGAAGGAATTGTTGAAGGATGAACAGACAAGAGGGAACACACATACCTAGATAAAGGGAATGATCTGAAAAAGTGGAGATCTGGTGTTTATTTTGGAAAGCTTAGAGAAAGTAGGTGAGGTACGCAGAGCACTAGAAAAGGGCAAAGACCATACCTATTTTTAAAAATGGTGGAAAAAGGAGCTATGGAACTACAGATAACTTATATTCACTTTCTGAAGAATAAATCTGGAACAAATCGTTAAGCTTTCTTTGTAGGCAGCTAGAAAAGGCAAAGGGTAGGAATAACAGTCAACACGGGTGTGTTGAGTCATGCCAAACCAGACCAGTTTCCTACTGTGATAATGTAACAAACAGATGTGTGGATAACAAATAGGTATCATACATCTTGATTTTTACATAGCTTTGATATTGTGTCATATGACATTCTCATAAACAAGCTAAGGAGATGGATTCTGGATGAAAATGTAAGGAAGGTAAGTACTACATCAGTAGAATGAGGTTAAGCTCAGAGAGACTGCAAATACTTTTTGGAGGAGAAGATTCAAATTCAAAATTATCTCTGAACAAAAGAGATAATGTTAAATAACAAATGCAAGGCGATACATGTATGCAGGAAAATTTACCTGTACAAATACAGAATCAAGGTCAACTGATTAGATACCCTTTCTTTTAAAAGGGTCTGATTGTTACATACATTTACATGAAGATGAATCAATATGTCATGTTGCAAGAAAGGCTACCACTGTACCTGGACACATGAGCAGGAACGTAACCTGCAAGATGCCTGAATGAATCCTTTCACTCTCAGCCACTGATATGAGGCACTGCACCTCAAAAAAAATAAAGACCCAGCTGCCCAAAATAAAAAAAAAAAAGAAAAAAAGAACAACCTGAGAAAGATCTGTAAGGGCTGATGGAAAAAACAGGGTTGTGTAACCTAGCAGAAGGATGGGAGAGGAACATGATTAACTTTCTTCCAGTAACATGAAATGTTGCAGGGAGGAAGAGTATGAACCATTTCTCATGTCCCTGGTGGGCAGAACACAAGTCAATATTCTTACACTGAGGCAAGAAAGATCCAGGCTAAAGGTTAAGAAAATCTTTCACTCTTAAGGAAGGACTGGGATAGCTTGCCAGGCAAACTGGAGTTTCCCAGTGGTGGTGTGAAAGCACAGCTTAGCGCTTAGGAACAACAGGCAGTCCGACGCTGGAGTTGGAGCAGGATTGCCTAGATAAACTCTTTACCTCTCTACTAGCCCCATTTTTTTTTATGATGGTGATGATGTAATCTGGAGATTTTCATGGGGTTGTATTAAAACCTTGGACAAATGTTGATGCTAAATGCCTCAAATAATAAACTGTCACTCCCTGTAGCTGAACTCTGAGGCATGAAAGTCCCATCTACAGCATCTTAGCTCAGCAGGTCTACGTGTTGGACTAATTAATGATTAATGCTAAGTATTTCTCATTGATGCATGAAGGCAGATTAGTTTTCATGGGTCATTTCAGTCAGCGGGAACAGTCCCTTGATGTGCAGTCCCAATTAAAACTTACACAGTTTTATGCCCCAGGAAAACCACCTTAGAATCTCACCAGGTATTTTTTGTGTCAGATAAAGGAAGTACCTGTAAATATTTCTGGGTTTAATGTTTTACAATGGTAGCAACAAAAATACCTAGTCCACATTGCTAGCACTTGCTTAGAAGAGCTCTGGTGTTGCTTAAGACAACACTATTTTATTAGCTAAAACCTATTCACTTTTGTGGAAATATGCAGCTTCTGATGAAAAGTGTACAAATGGAACACACATCAGTTTGATGATTAAGCAGCTCATGTGGAATATCGGAGACTCAGGTGAAATTTTTGTTCTTGCTGAATGGCACACAGCCCTGACCGTGCTTTGCCCCTTCCCAGTGGGTACCACAGCCACTGAGACAGGGACCCAGTTTCTGCAGCCCATTGAATACAACGTAGTCATTCATCCATCTGTTCCAAGAGGTGCATCTCTAACAGAAATAGATATCCCACCTCAGAAGAGCTAATTTAGTGCTGATTAAAACATCTGGTGAAAATACATGAGACTTTTTTAGATTCAAACAGTGTCTCTAAAGGAGTCAAAATATCTCAGTCAAATGCAAACAACTAATACTGAAATCTTTTCAGTTTTGTAAGAGTGAGTCTCATTTTCCTTTCAGATCTCTCTCGATATATTTGAAGTATTACCGATGATGTATATCTCTTGTTGGAAAATCATTCAGCATTCAATACTAGCTCATTTAATTCACCTGTGGAGTGAGAACAAGGAAAAAGTTCTGGGGTAATGGGAAGGCCGGGAAATGCAGGAGAGAAAAAAAATAGGGCACATCATACATAAAAATTAGATGACAAAGTCTGGAAAATACCCAAGACTTAATGAGACAGGAAGGATAGGAAAAGGGAAGAAGAAAATTTAAGAGGTACAGGTACAGGATTTAGCCTGCCTAATTCAGATGGTCTAAACTGTATTTCAGTTGTAGATGCCTTTGGAAGCATTCTTCTTCAAAGACTCATAGTTTCCTATACAATCGATGGCGAGAGGTAGGTGCCTTGAGAATAAAGACCTCCAAGAGGAATATTGTGCTTCCTGACTAAGGTTATCAGGATCTCCCTCTGGAGGCAGACACCCAACTCCTTCCATTAATGAAGAGACCTCATGCACTTATCTGGATAATTTGTTCTGTGGGCTCCTAACAACGATGTTAAAGTTAGGCACGCTGGCTCCTACACAAGGTCACAACAGAATGGAGAAATAAAAACTGAAAGGAGAACTCAGAAATGAGATTTACAGTCTGTATTATAGGAGGTCTAAGGGCCTTTGATAGAAATCAGGGTTTCATAGTCCTGTGGTGGACTGATCCTCTCTCTGAGCTTTTATAATTACCTAAATAGAAAGATAGACAAATAGTAGTCCAAAAGGAGCTCCTGTTACCACCTCTTCAGATTTCAGCTTGGCTTCAGAGGTTGCTTTCATAGATAAGACAAGTGATTTAGATCTGTATTCAACACATCAAGTCAACGTCTTGTGCAAATGATCATTTCCATAAGATCCTTTCACATCATAACTGAACAGATGCTGAGTCAGATTTCAACACGGACCCAAACTGGAATTAGCAATCTGAATTTGGCAACCAACAACAGAATTCAGATTTGGGCTTGTGGCTTTTAGTTAAATCATGGAGATAAACCAAATGATTTCTCACTAGACATAATGGCTATTGGCAGCAGGAGGAAAAGTATTAATGCATTGAATGGTTGAGCATAAAGAGATGGCTGGGTTAACAGCCAGTTTGAACTTGTAATATTCAGTAACCACAGTACCTCATCGCATTTAAAAAGCTGATAACCGGTTATTTGCCATTGTTCAGTGGAAAATCTCTGACTTGAAATGCAGAACAGAAAAATCAAAGTTTCATGATTGACTCTCTCAGTTCACAAGTATCGTTTGCATTTTGTTACTGTATTTATCTCAGCGCCTCTCAGTCTCATTCTAAATCTTACCTGAAAAAGCACTTTTTTTTTTTTCTTTAGTCTATCACCTTTTTTTCATACTCCCTCTCTTCATCATTTAAATCTGCAATGGCACTGTAAAGTTCTTTGGGGTACAATTTGCATAAGGTATTGTACAACATTGTATTATTTTAGCAGAATACAGTTTCTTGAAAAGACCAGAAGTAACAGATTAGGGCAAGCACTATTTAACACTGAGTCACAGCTCTCATCGATGCAGTTATGAAAGGCAATGATACACCCTAATTTATGATTTTGTGCAGGCATTAACGGAATATGTATGGAAAAAATTACCATCTGGAGATAAGGTCAAAAGTAAATGAGCCATTTCAGAAAGCAAGGAAAGAATGTCCCAAACACTGCAGTTAGTTTGTTAGTTGTTTAATGTCATGTTGTAACTAGAACTAAAACTTACACTGGTTTTGTGTTGAAGAAAATATATGTGGATTATATCATTGTAGGCAGCAGAGTTTCCAGAGTAGGCTCAGGGTCAAGTGTGAATTGAGTTATTATTTTAGAAATGTGAAGAGCTAAGTATATCTCCCACCCCTCCACCTACCCCCATCAATACAGTTTCAACAAATTTTATCTACATTCTCATTTTTTCCCCATGACTCCCATTCTCCAGCTTAGTCATACTGACATTTCAGGCTATGGGGAGGGTGTGCTGAGATTCCATACCCAGGAAGTGTTTGGCATGTGCATAACAAGGAAAGCTGGAGAGGGACTGTTTATCAAGGAGCATAGTGACAGGACAAGGGGTAATGGGTTTAAGCTGAAGGAGGGTCGATTTAGATTAGATGCTAGAAAGAAATTCTTTACTGTGAGGGTCGTGAGGCACTGGAACAGGTTGCCCAGAGAAGCTGTGGATGCCCCCTCCCTGGAAGTGTTCAAGGCCAGGTTGGATGGGGCTTTGGGCAACCTGGTCTAGTGGAGGGTGTCCCTGCCCATGGCAGGGGGCTTGGAACTAGATGAACTTTAAGATCCCTTCCAACCCAAACCATTCTATGATTCTATGAACGAAGTGCATCAACCAGTTACACATAAGCATAGAAACTCACATATCTGAAGTTGAAAACATGCATCAGTGTTTTGCTAGGCAGGTGTATTAATGAACTTTGTGTTTTAATAAACTTTGTACATCAAGACATTTTTTTCTATGAAATTACCTTAAGTTTTAAAATACAGAATAATACAAACAACAACAACAAAAAGGTTTTCTTTCTCACCAACCTGTATCTGAAGTACCACCAGATGTGCATCCAGGGCATTCTTTACTGGGAGGGCTTTGAAACACAATTTAATCTGTCTTTTTTTCTCAGCTATCTTCAGCTTCAGAAAACCGATCTTTTCATCCATAATTTGCATCTCAATATCTCCATTTCTACACAGCATTTCTTGCATCTTTATTTTTTCATATAAAATGCATAGTTCTTCTTCTCGATTTCTTAGCAGAAGACCGCTGCAATAAGCCCAAAATGAAAAGGTAAAATCAAAGAAAAATGTGGCTCATATTCAGTGTATTCCATTCAAGAACATAACTGGCAACCTTGAAAGTTAATAATAATCTGGGAAAATGTACAAAGGTTTCACAAATAATATTTTAATATCATGACAACATTTTAAATAGGCAACAATATAATTACAATGTGAAAAATCAGAGAACAAACAATTGCAAAAGTTACTCTAGTCTCTCATATAATTTTAAAAGCTCTTCTGGCCTTCCACAGCATTCATTTAAAAATGGATTAACAAGATCAGGGAGCTTTGCATCTTCTGCATTTTTATACCTTATATACCTTTATATCTTCTCTGCACACAAAGCACAAACAGAGCAGGAGGCTACAAGCTTTCAAGGCATTCAGTAGCCAAGCCACCATATTTTTTAAATAATAATTCTGAAGAATGAACATCTTCACCAATGGAGAAACACCACCTGTGTAATGCAAAGCAGCATTGACATTGCAGTGAGGCAGACTGTTTAGTGAAACACTGTAGTGAGGCAGCCTTTTAGTATTCCTAACTAGGAGTCATCATAAAATATTGTTGATTCATTAATGTAAAAATTATACACTACATCAAATTTTCATGTATACCTCTCATTTTGTTGCTGAATAGCTCTTTCATATTTTTTGCGTAGCTGCTCAATTTCCTCTTCAACATGGGTGACCATACTGGTAAGCTTCTCAAGATCCAGACACCGTTGCTTTTTCTTTTCTTTCATCTCATGCACGATTTGTACAATTTTGCAATAATCACTTTTGAGACTTTCTGTAATTGCTACATTATTTGTATTCTTCAGAAGTTGTTTCTGCAATTTTCTTTAACATAACAGAAAAGTAGGAAAGTTTTTAGTCCTTCAATTTGAAAGCAATTTCAACAATTAAAAGCAGAGCTTAAACTAATTCCTCAAATACACAAAGGATCTTCTACGTCACTCTGCTTCACAGAAGCATTACAAGAAGTAGAAAGACTCTCTGAGAACGGCTTCTCTCTGCAAACTCTTTCCAGCTTGAAAAGAACTGGATTATGGCCCAAGAAAAATGCTATAAATGGAGCACCACACTGCAGCTCTTTTCTTCTCCACTGGCTAGCCCAAGGGGCTGTAAGAAATAAAGTTCAAGAGCAGAAGCACAAACTGTGATGCAAATAATGTGTAGAAATCCTCCCCTTCTATTTAAAGAGAGATATTTAAAGAATTTTGTGGTTGTGATTCAAAGGTCTCCAAGTTTATTGTTTATAAAACAATGTATCACAGCATTCACACAAGGAAGAAAATTATGTTTCCCTGTTTGACAGATGAGAAAAAAAAATCACAACAAAAGGTTAGTGACAAGATCATGTTATAGAACCATGAAAATTAAGAACAGAACTCATTATTTCTGGTGACCTTGCTGGCCACTAGATGATAGTCCCTCACTTAATGCAAATTCTTGTTGCCACACATATCATTCATTTGGTCATGACATGGAACTCAGAGTTACTGCATTTGATCTGTGGTAAGTATCACTTCTTGATCAAGTATCACTGCTTTATCTATACTGGGGAGATATTCATGTCAACATAAAAAAGAGGTAGTGAAAGAAGCAGCATAGTCTCCTGTTAAAATACAGAACTGCTGAAGAAATATTGTGCCTCCCCTCATGGGCTCCATCATTGCATTGCTGAATTACTCTGTACAAAGCAGTGAGCTTCTTTCTGGTTCATTTTCCCCATGTCTGTACACTTTCCAGTTCCACAGAGTATTACTGAATTGAATTAAATTTCTGTAAAGCAAGTTTCAGACTGAAAGCATGACAATATTACAGAAATGCAATGTGTTATTAAATATTTTCTGAAAAATCTTTCTCTTATTTGGACTGACACTCTGTGTGTCCTCCAAATTGTGTAGGTTGCAATTAAGTCAGTGATACTATAATACTAAAGTCTAGTACTGGGATTAAAAATATTTTCCATAGGTAAGAGAAGAGTACCTCTTGCTAGTTTTAAATCTAGGTTTGCAGAGATCAAAATGCCTCTTGGATTTTTACTGGAGTAGGATCATCTACAATAATTAGATATTTCTGATATCTAGCCAATATATAACTGTTGCAGCCCTTTCCACCCCTCCTTTCACCAGTAATTGATTGGGAAGGCCTCAAAAATTTTAGCACAAAATGTCAGCTTGTGCATCTTGACAAGATCACTTAAATCACTGAAGTTCCACTTCTTTTCTAGCTACCTCCAGCATGACTTTGAAATCAAGCTACTCAGAGATTCACAATATCATAGAATCATAGAATCATAGAATGGTTTGGGTTGGAAGGGACCTCAAAGATCTAGTTCCAACCCCCCTGCCATGGGCAGGGACACCCTCCACCAGACCATGTTGCCCAAAGCCCCATCCAACCTGGTCTTAAACACTTCCAGGGAGGGGGCATCCACAGCTTCTCTGGGCAACCTGTTCCAGTGCCTCACGACCCTCACAGTAAAGAATTTCTTTCTAACATCTAATCTAAATCGACCCTCCTTCAGCTTAAACCCATTACCCCTTGTCCTGTCACTACACTCCCTCATAAACAGTCCCTCTATACTTTGAGTGAATGTATCCTGAATGCATTCTTAGGCCTGGTTGTGCAATTTTTTTGGCACTGAAAAACAAAGTTTTGGAAATTCAAATTATTTTTAAACCACTCAGTTTTGGCTGTGCTGTTTGCCTACACAGTTAACTACTCACTAGCTTCCTACTTTCCCAACTACCCATTTCAGAGACATTGTCATTCTGTCTGTATCGCGCCAAGCTCAATATCATCACTGGGATGAAAAAAGATGGCAAAAGGACATCTCCACAGAATAATGGTCTAAGAAAAACTAGTCAAATGCACCCCGTGTTCCACCTCATCCTCTTTGTTGTGAATGTAACCTTTCATTTTGACTAGGATTGCCTGGAAACTGAAACCATGTTTTGTTTGATCTGAAATAAATGTTATCCAATAAACTTCATTTTGAGTTTGAACCAAGAAATCCAGTTTGTTCTAATTTAATAATTAGACAGCCACATTACTAGCTAGTGACTCATTTAGTAGTACCACACCAGTCTGTTGTGGAATCACATATGTATTGGATCTCTTTTTGTCTAAGGATAAGAAAGTACAAGAGTGTCGTTTATATTGAATGAAGCAGCATGATAATTCAGATGCTAGAGGCTCAGGACCTGTGACACAAAGGAAATGCAATGACAATTTATCCTTTCAAAGGACAGTAAAGTGAGAGAGTAGTCAGACAAACTTCAAAAATGCTTCGTGCCATGCAGCGATGCCCAAGCTAATTGTGCATTGTTAAGAGTGATAACAAATTGGAAGATATTATGTAAGGGTGTTGCTAAATGTCTTTGTTTGAAACAGGTTTTAAAAATCAGGATAATAACTGTCAAGGATAATATAGCCATAGTTGAAGTTGGTCTAGATTATCTCTTAAGATTCTTCCTAATCTTTTATTTCTATAATTATGATCTACAGCTTACTTAAAAACTCACCTTTCCTTGGTTATAACAGTATTCCTTAAATTTTCTATTTAATTTCCTAGCGATTTTACCCGGTTTTTAATTTCACTTGCTTTCTGCTGAGCAGCATGCACCAAATTCATACATTTATTCCTTTCATTTTGGATAACATCATACATTTTAGCAAATCCTTGGAGTCTGAAGAAGTGACAAGTGTGAAAGAAATAATTATTAGAATTTTATGAATACATTCCTTGGATAAAAATGGCTTTAAAAAACATTTTTTAGCTAAGGTATTCTTATTATTTTTCTTACTGTTTTTGGATTTCTCTTTTCTTCTTTTTATACTCTCTTATTTCAAGATCCTTTTTTTTAATTTCTTTAATAGTATTTTGGAGTTGTATCTGAAATTTAAATAGAATTCAGTGAGCACTTTAGATATATCAAAGAAATGTCTTCAAAGAAAATACTCAGAACAGCTATTCCTCTTAGACGAGGAAAAGACAGCGAGGCGAGATTCATAGAATCATAGAATCAGAATGGTTTGGGTTGAAAGGGACCTAGATGATTCTTAGATTATTCTAAGAACTTATGCTAATTATAATGAAATCCTTAACAACATTAAAGAACACAGTTTTTCTACATATATTAAGCTTACAGCAACTGTTATTAATGTAGACAATTTGATGCTGCATCTTAAAATGCTTGGCCCTTTGTATCTGGAGTTCTACTGTTTCTATTAAGCAGTCTCTTAGTTCCATCACTATAATTATTTGGCATATACACCACTGAAATTGTATCTTTTCAAATAAAATTTATTTTTTTCTCTTTTCTGGCTTTTAAGCAATCACGTACATTTACATTTTGTTACGGCTCTGGACCTTTTGATTTCAGTTGCATTCAGTCTTCAGTAGCCTGTGTCATTAACCGTCAATGGACAGGCCTTTTCTCACCTCCCACTGGTATCAGGAGGAGAAGACTGGCATTAAAAAAACCTGGTGGGTGTTGGGTTGCAACTCTGGGCACGCGTGTGCCTTCATTACTTTGTATTGTTTATCTTTTTGATCTGTTTATGGACTGACTTTTATTGAAGGTGCAAAGCCTGGCATGATTGTTTGCTCTATTTTTACAGACAGTCAAAGATTCCCAAAGGGCTAGAAAGGTAGCTTATCTAATTTATTTGAATACAAATGTGCATTGTGGAAGCATAAATAGTTTGTTCCCATATACAAACCTGGCAGTTAGTATAAACTGTGCAACATCACAGCAAATATATGATATTATAATGCAAGCAAACTGCACGTAGCAAACCCAATGACTCTTCCTAGTTTCTGTGACCATAGGAAAAGTTTTCTTTACATCTTTTTTCACATTCATATAACAATTTACACCTGGAAATGTGTCAGGAAAATAAAAACTGCTGCCTCTCCTTGGAATGAGTAGCAGTTCTGTTTATCTTTTAATGTCCACATATTTGCAAAATAAAATACATAGTTGTACTTCCAAGAATCTCAGTTGAGGCTATCTGCTTTTCTGCCTGTTTATTCCATAGGCTTGAAAGAAAATGTCCTTTTAAATACCTTGTTTCAATTGTGGCATGATATTTTAATATACTATTGCACTGCACCATAAATTTCAAAGAACCCCACAGTATTGTGAGCTTCCTGTGTTGTGATGGAACTTCAAAGTGGGGAATGACAGTCCATAAGCTCTCCTCACTAGTAGTTTGATTTCTCCATATAATTGCTTTTACTTTAGAAGAGTCTTCCAATTACATAAGATAATTTTTTACCTGGGCTTTCTGAACATCCCTAGATTTATGTTCCTTTTCTTCAACTTTGAGCCAAGTCAGATGTGCAAGTCTGGATAACTCATCTCTGCATTTTTCCTGCTCTTTGAAAAGCCGGCCTTCTTCAGCAATACATTCTTCTAACATGCGGGCATCCATTTCTGATATCATTTCCTAGAGAAAATTAAATTCGATTCCTTATGCATTGATGCATCAGTGATGGTAAACTCAAAGTTGGAAATACTTTGGGTTTATCTGCAAAGTAAACATCTATACAGACTACATGGATTTAAAAAAAATACTGCTTTAAAATACCAGCTGAAACACCATGTGCAACCCCTATATGAACATGTCAAAATGCTTTACCACCTAGAAGCATTTCTGTTCCTCAGTCTTGCATGTCTTTCAGCTATATTGCCCATTGGGCAGAATGGTTCCTTATGGCCATACAACGTTTAAATAACCTTAGTGTCAGGTCTTGACATGTCCATGGAAGACACTACACAATGGAAGACACTGAGCTTTCACATTAAGAGACCAAATTTAGACATTTAAAAGAGAGCAAAGTATCTAGATGCCTAGAATTGTTGGAGATTCAGTCAATACAGTCAGTGAACTCTAAAGAGCTATTTGGTCTCCCCAGCATTGGTTAACCTCTTTAGGAGGAGGTGAATGGATGACTTTCTAGGCTCTACTGACTATATGACTAGATTGTTATTGACTATCGTGACAAATTATATACGTATTCCATACACAGATAGTGACATGTAGATACCAAACGCATATGTATTCAAACACAAGCTGAATCCCACCTGATAATGCTAACAAATTCAAAGACAGCACAAAAAGAAAATGGATATAAGGGTAAGAAGATTAAGAGGTATGCTCTTAAGAAGAAGGTATGTCTGAAATATATTGCTTCTTATAAAGTCATTTATATAGTGGCAAGTACTAATACTCTCATAATTGAGACATCTGCATTTCCACACTGGCTGTGCTGAGTATAGACAGACATCCACAAATGGCAAAACTGTGAAGATGAAAAATTATAATGTACAAATGCTGAACTGTCCTTGTTTCAACAAGAGACTGCCATATCCAAAGGAAATTTATACCCATCATATTTCTAGCTGTATTGTAGCTAGTGATATTCAGAAAGACTTAACCCAGAAAGCCCATTTCCTTTTGCCTTCCAATATATGACCAGTAGTAACACCAAAAAATGTTTTTTAACTATCGCAAAAACAAATGGTCTTTAAAATTGAACAAATAGTATCACATGTTTTCTCACCAGAAAACTGCATCTAGAAACTCCCATCATTTTTTCTTCAAACAGCCCCTTTATTCTCATGATTGAAACCCAACTTTTACAGCAAAAAAGAACGAGAAAGCAGAACTCAGCACCTGTTCAGCTAAACTTCTCTTGGTGTTTTCAATTTCCTTCTGCAGTTCTCGTCGTCTTTCTAATAATACTCCGTTACTTTTAGGGATGGCTTCTGCCTGTAAAAATAAACCAAGTACACTGATGCAAACAAAAAATGTGAAAAAAGTAAACTGCAGATAATCTATTTGAAGTAGTTACACACATTAAGAAATCAAATTTCTGTGTTGTAACAATAGCTAGTCCAAGAGTTCTTTGTTGAGTAGAGGTCCTCAGCAACATATCCAAGTTTCTAAAATTTTTCTTTTAAGAATTTAACTATAAACACTAAACTTCACAAAGCCCAGTGTAAGTAGTGAATTTATAAGGGTTATGTTTTTCAGCAACTAAACCATTAAAAAATAATCACAATGAGCGACTATGCAAAGATGTCACATTCTAAATTCACAGAAGATTTTCCTTACTGCAGAAAAAAAATAGATTTACCACTGATTTTAATAGGGTCAATATTTCACATCTGTGTAGATTTGATATAGTTTTTGCTTGTAGCTTTTAAAGTAAGATTTTTCCTCCTTAGGCTCTAGAAAGACAAAACTAACAACACAAACAGTTATGTATTATTTTTTCATGTATTATTTTTTCTTGTACATTATGGGAAAATTAGTTTATTCAGTCAGATTTTAAAATGAAGTCTGTGAAGGAAGACACATTAGAAACTACTTTCTGATTAAAATATATCTGAACAATCCCACTACAACTATTTGCGTGATGTAACTCATAAGGCAAAAGGTTGAATCGACCTCACACTGACTAACTTCACTTAAAAATTCTTTGCGGTTGTAAGTAAGTAAGAAATAAACAGAGCAGGCTAACCAGGCAGGCATATGTTGCCTGTCCGTAATTGCAAATTTGTAATTCATACAGGTGGGAAAAAAATTACACTGAACGAAACATCTGGAAGCTATTCAAAGATGATGCACCAACCCTGTGGTATCTTTCTCAGATCTCAACCAGATGTTTGAGTTCAAAAGACCATACCTCAACATAGATGAGATGTTTCGCACTTACAGTTTTCACTTCTGTGATAACATTATCAAATTAATTAGATGTTTACTTGCATTAAGGGAGAGGGAAACGAGGCACAGTAAAAGTCAACCTTTGGAGTTTGGTTTCAGCTGCCAACTCTGAGACAGATTTGGTTTGACTCAGGTTTGCTAAAAGGTGAATAAAACCTATTCTAAGCAAGTTGCTTTCACTCTTGTGGAAGGAGCAAACATGGCCTTTCTGTGAAGCATACAATAGTTATCACTTCTGCAGTGTAAAAAGGCCGTAGTGGCTGTAAGTAGGCATTTCCACATTTTCCAGATGGGATACTAAAGATGCCATCAAGTTCTTGAGTCTAAATGTAGAAAGCTCACACAAACATCTATAGTCCATTAAGGACTTTTGTTCACATAAGACATGACTAAACTTAGGCACTTCTGTCTGTCTCTGCATTGGCCTGACTGAAGAGAAGGCGTGCATGGAGACGAACAGCAGCTCTGCTCTGGGCTGCTGATAGTTCTCTTTCACACAGAATGCTGGCGTTTAGCAACAGCTGACCTTTCACAACTTAGTAAGAAGAAAAACACATTTGAAGGAAGTGTTCCTGTAATTTCCTTATTCTACAAACCAGTTATTCTGCACTTGGCACGTGATTTAGAGAAATTTGGGGAAGCACACTAATGTACTGTTGCTTCTGCAATCACGTTTTTATACTAGCAATTAATTAACTACTTACAATATCTTAACTTTTCCTAGGTGTGCTTCTAAGTCAATAGTCTCCAGAGAGCAAAAGCCAAGCAGAAACAAGCTTGCCACTCTAGCCTTTCGTACTCCAGTACTGCATTTGAACTGACCATGCTGCAGAGCAGAGGTGGTTTCATATTTGCTCTTCTAAAAGACCCAAGAAAGGAATCACAGAAATCACATAGCATGTGGAAGATGGCTTAAAACAACTATATTGCCATGGCCTGTTTGTGTTAGGGTAGCATCCTGCAACTTCTGGAGTAAAATGCTGCAGAGAATTCCACTTCTCTCTCTGCTGGCATTCCCTTCCCTCAATCCCCATGATGCTGCTACTAGCAAGACACGCACAAGCCTGTAGTATAGCCTAGTGTTAGCATTGAGGGAATCCTCTGCAGTGCAACTTAACCTTTAAGGTCTCATTACAGATCCCTTGCCCTTTCACACAATGTAAAGAGGTTGGGTTGGGTTGGGTTTGGATGTCACCCAAGACAGTGAACTCTAACGACAGTTGTCAGTGATTTATGGCATTTGATTTTAGCATTACATACTTTTGAACAATTGTGATTCTCCCTCCAGGAATACTTTTTCAATAGGAACACAGGAAAAAAAAATCATTTCTCAGACTCCCTTAGCTAATACTGAACAGAAACTCAGTAGGAGCTTTAAGATCAAAGTCTGCAATGTGCGTCAGGCCTTTAATCAATATTTCAGGAAATTAAATCTAAAACAAATTTATGTAGTTATCGAGCTTTCCTCCGTCCTCCCAACTGGGCTTATGTTACTAGGTAATAAATACACATGTGAATTCAGGAGGAATTTCAGAAAAAAATTTGTATTGTTTAATAATTCTAAATATTATTGAGTAACATTTAGAGTTGTTTAAATAGAAAAGCTAAGTATGTGCGAGTTTTTATACCATATAGTTATTTTTAAAAACTTTACAGTGATGTAAATAAGACTTTTTTCTGCCCTGAATTGCTTAGAAGGACCAAGAAAAATTTCAAAGACATTTTGTCAAGGTAGGAAACATCAAGTCCTGTGAAAAAATATTCACCTGACAAAGCAAGATGAATTTTACAAGACTGACTTACAATTTAGACTAAGCAAGGAGCTAATATAGGAGAAAATCTTAAGAAAGAGAGAATGGAAGAACCAGTGATGAAAGGAAGAGCATACAAAAAAGTTCTAGACAAATTAATTTTTTAAGAAAGTATTGGAAGGAGAAAAGAAAGAAAATGCTTTGAATAGACAAGCAGAATGAGACTGCCCTTTAAAATCAGCATAGTAGAAGACACAAATAAAACAGAAAAGAGTAAATCAGTATGGGAAGAGGAATGGCGAAATACTGATGCAGGGAAGAAATGAGGAAGGTGAAATTTGAGTGGAAACAAAGAGAACATAGGGAATTATTTCATATTACTTAATACCAAACTTTATATAGTGCTAGTTTCCTGTCCTCTGGAATAATGTTAAATACATTATAAATTATTTACAGTAATATACAAACAACCTTCAAAATTTAAAAAGATGTAACTTTTCATCATCTGGGAGCCAGGCAGTACCTGTGTCTATTTTTCTGATACAAATTTCTTTGATGCCAATGGGCAAGTCACTATATTATTTCTCTCATAAATGACCACAATTCCACACTGCTTTAAAGGGAGACATGACATCACAGTGCCAATATGATCTCCCAGTTCTCCTTGATAGGATGCTCCTACCTAAAATCCATTTCTTAAGAATAGTCCAAATATATCTGGATGCTGCATTTTTTTATTACAGCCACAGTACCTAGAGGTTTCTTTGTTAGTTATAGCAACACTCGACACTTTGATGTGCATAAGACTTAAAACAGTCTTCTCCTCTTCCCCCTTTTAGGACCAGTCAAAAGATTTAATAGACAGATTTCTTACAAGAAAATTTAAAATCTTTATGATCAATGCATTCATACAGACCTCTAATTTGAGTCTTTTATGCCATGACTTATCTTGTTCCAAGGAATCATAAATCACATTCAGTTGTAACTCCATCTTTTTTAAGTTTCTCAGTTCTCTATCTTTCTGTGTTTGCTTGCGAATGAGAATATCATGTTGCTTTTTTTTCTCCAAGACACATTTATTTAAATTTTCTTCCAGAGCTTCTCTATATAGACAGACATAGAATTTTAGAAACAGGTGTGTTTCTACAAGATGTGTATGCAAAGAGGCATGATCATTTCAATGGGTTTTGAGTACTGCATCATTATGGCTGAGCAGCAGGATAAACTTATAAATTACTCATACAAATTACCTAAAAAGCTAGCATTTTTATAACTTTAATCAATGTTAATATTCCTAATGATGTCAGTGAGGTCTCGCAGTCTGTTCTAAATATGCTAAAAATTCCAGACAAACTGTTACTTGTAGGAAGAAGAAAACACATTTTTTAATATGAGGGAGTATTTATATGTTCGCTTCACTCAAACATTTCAATTTAAAGTGCCACTATCCTTCAATATAAAACTTTAAAGGCAAAAGCATTGTTGCTGAGCGTATGGCCATGATTACAACTACACATCTTCCTCTGCAAAGAAGGAATCGTTTGAAGCTTGCAATAAACCTAACAGGTTATTTTACTTTATGAAGTATGTATAAGCTCATAATTCAAGGGAATATTAAAAATATGTGTAATCAGTCCTCACTGAAATTCAGGAGTATGTGGGTGCAGAAATCTATGATCCCCAGTTGAAAATGAAAATACTGACCTATTTTTTTCTTGCTCAATTTACTTCCTGTGGGTTACACAGAAAAAAATGTATTTTCACCATAGAGAGAAACCCTCTAAAAGACTTCCCTTTCAGAGCAAAATCCAGTTTCACTCTCCCAGGATTTTATCAAATGTTTATGCTTTTTGATATTCCTCTTCAAGCCAGATCCTAGATTCCAGTAGTTTATATAAACATTTCTGAAGTCAAAACCAAGTCTGATAATTTCTAGTCCACACTGGTTGCAGCATAAAACTTGAAAACATAAGCAATATAGCAGAAAAAAGAAATAGAACTTTAAGAACAGAGAATTGTTCATTCATACTACATGGCTCATGTCTACTATTCTAACCTGTCTGATAGGACCTCTGATTCCTTCTCTCTGCTAATTTCTAGTAATTTTGTCAAAGCAATGCATTCTCGTTCTTTGCTTTCAAGCAAAATTTGTTTCCCATCCAATTCCTTCATTACATCTTCTCTTTCTTGCAAAATCTCTTCAGTTCTTTTTTCAATGGCTTTCAGGGTACCATTCAACTCTTCTATTTGGTCATTAAGGGCTTCTTTCTTGTTCTCTGCATTACTGTGGATATATTTTAACAAAACAGTAGGGGTTAACATTTCCACATGCATATTTCCACATGCATTATTGCCAGTTTTCATGGACACACAAAATCATTTCAACATCACAACTATCTACATTATATGTTTGAAAGCAGACTACATACAGTGAAAATCTTCAAATGCCAATACAATTCAACAATTAAATTGAAGATGGCCATGGGACTAACAGGGATCTTAGCAACATGACAGTATTAAAAAGACCTCCAGTAAACTGCCTGCTGTCAAAATTACTAGGTGTATGGGTGCAACACTTCAAAATATTATTCCCAAGGCTGGAAACTCTAATTAGTTCACTCCATGATGCAATACAACTAGAAAGACTCATTTAAATGTTTCATTAATAACAATCTACACAATGTACTAGGTTTTAAAAATTGTTTCTCTGTAACACTACAGGAAAAACTTCTTTTATTTATGATAGCAGAGCTGCATTAAGCAGAACAGAGAGGAAAATGTAGAAGAAAACCATTATACAAGTTTTAAAACTGAGAAATTTAACATAGTCAAACAATTTCTATATTACAAATAGGGACTGCAAGCAGGAGAGACAAAAACTTCAGTGTAATCCTGTGCCCAAATAGGATACAAAAAATGTCATTCACCTGGAAGGCACTTGGATCTGTGCGTGACCTGGCTGAAACTGCACAGTGCTAATTAGATTTTACACATACAGAAAGCAGCACATGTTATGCTTCAGGGGAGAAAAAACCCAACTATACAAAAGAGAGAAAGAAAAGGCTGGATACTGACTTACATTTTCCATGTTGAAATATCAGAGACCAGAAGTCACATCAGAGGCTTACAGCAAAGCACCTCTGACTAAAAAACTGGTACAGAAGTATCAAGGGAGAATAATTAGCTCAGGCCGGACTGTTAGCTGTGAAAGCTGCTAGTTTCACTAAGGCCAATAGAGATAAGCTAATATACAGTCACTGAGGACTAGAAACTGTAAAAAACCCCTAATCACTAGATTACATGGTAACATTATTATTTCCCATTAAAACCCTAGTAAGTAGATCTGATATATAGTAATGCAGCAGAGTAAGATGGTTAAGCAATATACTATAATTTTCAGCACAGTGCATGGATTTTAAGTGGATTATAGATGCTTTTTAAAATGTTGATCCTAATTTTACTCAACAACTATACTCAACTGTCTCTGTAACAGATGGATGAAAAGAAGTCATACATACATATTTATGTATATATATAATTATTTATTAAAAGCATACCTTTTTTTCCAATTTATCTTCTCAGTTTCTTTTCCAAGTTGTGCTGGAACACCAAGGATCTTAACTAGCTCATCCTAGTGACAAAACAGAAAATTCAGACCGAAAGCCTCAAAATCTGGTAAGATTTCATAGAAGTAATATTCACCTAGAACTGCTGTGAAATGGGGCAAGAAACATATTTTCTAATTACTTGAGCTTGTCCCAGGGAATTGTAGCTGCTAGTTTTGAAACTAAACATTACGATATTTACCATTTCATTATGTCTGCAAGATAAAAATTATGCTTGAATATTATTAATACATCCAATTATGTTATATATACCATGGAAAGGAAAGCAGAAAACCTGGGTATGTTTTTTAATTCTCAGCATAAAACTGTATTAATTTGGATTGTAGCATATGTTAGAGCAGCCTACAAAAACACAACATAGCAAATATGTCATTAGAGAAACCACTTTTTTAATCAAAACCATGACTACTATTATTTCCTAAAGGAGTAATAATGGATATGGCACAGCAGTATGTTTCATGCTTATTGAAAAATGACGTAATATATAATGTAGTGCCATCTAATGAATTTGGAATGACAAACAACATCCAGAAGATTCACCATTTCCTTGGACAAATGCACGTACTGTATACACGTACATGCACACACATGCGCACAGTGATACACATACACACAATAAATTTTTTGTTACTTTTAAATTAGCCTGCTTCTCCAGAAGATTTTCCACTTCTTTCTTGTCTATTAATATCAACTTTTGCTTGGATGAAATACCTTCCTTTATTGCATTAATTTCTGCTTTTCTCTGGATTACTTCTTTGCAGAGCTCATCACAATTTTCTTTTAGCTGTTTAATTTTCTTATCTGCTTCCTTTAAAAATGAAGCAAAAAATCAGATCATTTTTATTTCCCCTTTTACATTTTGCAGGCTTGTGATATTACAGAATCATTAACGCTGAATCATGATAACATTTTTTACAATAGACATGAAACACAATTTTTTACCAGCTGTGTGTTTCTTTTATCAATAACCAGCAGAATTTTATTTCCAACAAACCTACACATATCCATCAGGATTTACGACTGCAAATGCATTTTCCACACTCACATCCTAGAACAAAACATCTGCAGCTATCTTTATACGCAGTACCCATTTGTTGAATACAGTACAAAATTTTCTTGAGTAAAGTTAAGAAAATCCAGATCTTTTCTGAATCAATTATTCACTGCTTGCCATAGAGTTATCAAACCTGAATGATACAATATAGCCTCTCCTATAAAATCTACCTCTTGGTTTTTCTATGTATTCCAGATTTTAAAAAACTCTAGAGCTATACACTTCGAAAACATATTCGTTGATGGTTTTGTATTAGGGGACACAACATAAACCATGGCTTTTCTCATGTTTCATACTTACCCTTTGTTTTGGAATTCTTTCATATTCATTCTTCAGAAGCCTTTTTTCTTCTTGCAAACTACAGGAAAATCAAGAGAGAGCTGTATATGTCAGTAATACGCCAAACAATAAAAAGTATGGAAGCCTATCTTGTGTTAGACAAAAACGTATGGTGAATTATCATCAGGGACAATTGAAAGGTGTTCAGATTTAAAAGAAGGTTGCCGAATGGTAACTAGAAGTCCTGAAAGATCAGTCATACATATGCAGTTTTTTCTACAGTGCACGTCTAAACTTTTGAACCTGATTCTTCTTAGTGTTACCACCTCCTGCAGGGATGCATTTATGCCTCATTCACCCTTGTCTTTATACTAGCAGGGTATAACAGGTCAGACGGCACTCTGCACTCACAGTTCCTCCCAACCTCAGAAAACAAAATTTTAACATGGAACTGAGACAAAAGGAAAGAGGAGGTGGGTTATATAGAGCCAAAGACACATCACACATCAAAGCAAGTGCAGTTGCTAGTGAGAAACTTTCTTCTTCCTTTGAGTGATTGCTCATGCACACATTCACTCTGTAAACAACTCTAAGTGAGGCTCCTCAAATCTGAACAGGCTCCTGTGCAAAAAAACCCTGAAAAGTGACAGCGGATGTAGACTCAGTCGATGAGGTACAGTAGAAAGCTAAATTGAATAGCCATGGTGATCTTGACCTATATCCAAAACTATGTTGCTGTTTAATTTCAGGCAACAATAAAGACAGATGCCAAAGGAGGATAGAAGAAGGAAAGAAAAAAAAAAAAGGAAAGCTCTTAGATCTTCTGGATGTATTTTTAGTAATGTTGCCCTAAGAAAGATGAAGGAGTGACTATAAAAGTGACACTGAACCAACAAGCTCGTTAGATTTACAATAGGGAGCTTCTTGGTAGCAGGCAGGTAAATACTGCCAAATCTAAAAAATTAGCCCTAATGAAAAAAAAAGTCAATACATCCCCAGTGCATGCACAGAGCAATTCTGCACATATAGCAGGTAAATGGGCTACAGCAGCCTGCATGCTGTCACAACCAAACTGAACTTAATTAGGTCCTTGTGCTATTGATTGGGAACAAGGAGGCAGGTTCTTGCAATGTAATTAAGCATCTATGATGACATTTCTGACTCTCAGGTTATACGGGAGTAAAGATTGCAGCTGGGGAACAGGTGAAAGATCCAAATCCTCTGTCCCAGATATAGCAAAGAATCAACTTCAGCACTTAAATTTGTGTTTGTAACTCCAGCTGGAGAATGTGCTGGTCAGGCCTCCTGGAGATTCAGAGCAGTCTGTTAGAATAAACAATTTAAATAAGGTGAGTATTAACAGAAGGGGACAGGCTTTCATGATACAGCTGTGTCACTTAGAGCTATAAACTATGGCACGGGAGTCCTGGGGCAGCCCCGCCTACCCAAAGCAGCTATTACAGTTGCCTCTCAATGTGGTTGATAGAGAAGAGGCAAGCTGATCAGTATTTCCTTTTTCTCTGAAACCTTTCAGCGGCAGCCTAAGACTACTTTGTGTGGAGGCAGTTCAGGTTTCAGAAGGTGGTAGGCGTGGGAGAGGGATCAGTCTCCTAGTTGCCAGCTTCATGGAGGATCCTCCCTGGAATCTTGTGCTCAATTCTTCTTCAGGGTTGATTTAAGTTTCCTCCCACCCCAAATAAATTGTTTCTTATATTTTGGTCCTCCAACAAAAGGAACAAAGCTTATACCTCAAAGATTCAGGTGACATCCTTCCAGCCAAGGAAAGAAAAGAGTCAAAAAAGAGAACTGGTTTGGTGATGTTGCAATAAAAACCCAAACCAAACAAACAAAAAACCCTGAAGAGCAAAGAGAAAATAATAGCACAGAGTAGATGTTGTTGATTTACAGCAGACTACAAGTATGTCTGTCTCTACAGGCACTGTTAAGTCTAAAAAATAATTTGAATGACAGTGTTTGGAGCCCCCCAGAGTGAATGAGTCTGAAAAAAAAAATCTTTCAAAGAAAACAGTTGACTTTAGATCAGTCTTCCTCAAAAATTGATAAAATGAATTATAAAAAAAGTTCTATTGTAAAATCTATTATAACTTAAGAGATTGCACAGAAGAGTGACGTACTGTGTAGTGTGCAAGTACAAGCGAGTAGTAGGAAACACCATAAGGTTATTTCTTCTTTGCTGCAATGGGGCTCAGGAGCGACTTTTATGTTCCACTGTTTAAAGTCAATGAGGGAGAGCACAGGGATCAAACTGCGCTGAAAACTGAACTACTTCCATCCTATGATAGAATCTTTGGTCTGCTCGGGTGTACTATGCCCATAAGCTACAACTCAGTATATTGTGTTGGAGTGCCACACAGGTCAAACACAATGTTTTCACTTACCAACAGGTTGTCTAAGTGTATAAATACGTTAATAAGGACACTTCATATTCCCAACATGTTTTGGCAGGATTTCTAGTTGGACTCCTTGGGACTGGCATAATCACACTGGTTATAACAAATGGCCAGTCTGCGCAAATACCCATAACTTTGACTGCCACAAAAACTGATTAAATAAGTCCTGTGCAAATTGATTAAAGGGGTACTGCATTGCTCGTCATCAGTCCGTGCTGTGCCCTCTTTAATACCATGCCAGACGATCAAAAGAACAATCCCAAAAATCAGGAGGGAGAGCAAAGTTGACACTGTTTTTCTTTTGTCACATTCCTCACTCATGAGGACAGATTCCTGTGGAGCCATTCCAGTTTCACAACAAAGACTTTTCCATCCAGCAAAAGTAAAACGATTTGAACACTGCATTTTCTGTGACATAAACAGAGGCAACACTGAACGGCAAGGACCAAGTTACCTTAAGAGCTGGCAGACCAACTACTTCCACACAAAAAAGAATGAAGGTGTGAAAAGGGGGTAAAAGAAAGAAGTTAAATCTCTCCCTTTTGAGCAATGAGTTTGGTCCAGCTGCCCATATCCAAAAGTTAGACAGGTACTCCTATGCTAACATCCCCAAGGCTTCCTGACTGTCAGGGATAAAAGGGGAACCGCCAAAGGGCAGGTCATCTGACATCCCACGTTCCTATTTTAGGATGAGATAAATTACCAGTTGAAGATAATGCATTTCTCTCTGTTGACTCTAAAAGGAGACCAGGATGATTAGCTCAGATTAAGAAATCAAATAAGATTCTTCAAAAATTTTAAGTTCAGTGTCTGCTTTAATAGCTATATGGACACAGAAGCTTAAGGTAAGGTAAGCAGAGAAAATCTGGTCTTTCCATGTAGCATTTGAATGTTGTAATCTGTGGCAAATGGACATCAGCCTCATGACTGCCGATAAAATACTCAGACATCAATCATAACAACAAACAAAATAGCCGCAACTGGCATTAGGCATTTATAATTCCCATTCTTTTATAGCCCTTCTTTGAGTTTTCAACATCATGTGGTTTTTATTATTATTATATTATTATTATTATACCTATAACAACATACATAATGAAAAGAAGATGAAACTCTTAAGTTTAAGCATTATTGTTCACAAATGTTTCTCATGTTTCTTTACTTATTTTCATGAAACTTAATAGCAGTACTGTACTTGAAAAGCTATCGTGGATGCAGATGTAATGAGTTAAAAAAAAGCACTTGGAAAATTGGACCATTAATGAAAATACATTCCAGACTTTTCCCTGAGAGATGTCTACAGCTGCAAACTGACACAGAAATAAAAAAATTAAAAGTCAGAGAGATTAAGAAATGTAGTGGTAGTTGTCAACAGAGGTCCATTTCAGTTCCTCAGCTCACAAAATAGCCAGAACATTATTATCATTATGAATCCCATAATACAAGAAAGCAAACTCCTTCAGCTACTCTGACACATAGCTAGGATTGCTGAGGAATCCATGGAAGGTTTTCAGCACCTCACAACTAAAATCTAGTGACTACAAATAGAAGATATCACAGCTGACAAGGTGCCAGCATGAGATTCCTGTAAGGCTCTTAGCTGTAATTAGTTTGTATGTACTGGAGAATGCAGTCACAAGACTAGTTGATAACAACTTCAACTGTCACTCAATTTATTTTACTTATGACTTGTAATTCTTGATTAGAAAAAATATGGACAAAAGCTTAACTTTTCACTTTTTAATTATTGAGTGACTAATCCTGAAATAATTACAAGCATTGAAATAATTTTCCGTATTTGCAATGCTTCTGCAAGGACAAACTCGGTTTTGCAATCCTGACTTGCATGCAACAGCACATAGTCCTTCAGTGAATAGCCATTTTGCTACCTGCACAAGTGACTGTGAGGGCTACAGATTGGACCCAGGCTTTAAAATAAAATTGTTGTCAAGAATCAGGCACCTTTAACCTCACAAACTCTTGTTATAGATAATTTCATTACAAATTAATTGCTTACTTTTAAATATATAGTTTAAATGATAAATTAATTTAGATGATAAATTTATTATTTCTCAATAATAAACTATTGTTGATACCATCGCCTGATAAAGAAAAGGAGCTCTTCTTTATTTTGTCTTACAAACCAGGACTGTAAGCCTCACATGGACATTAAAATGAAAAGTTTCCTCAAGCTAGAACAAATCCTTGCTGATCACATTGATCCTTTCCTTGTTCTGGTGTTAACCTGATTTTTCGGTCTATATTCTTATTTACTGAGGCTTATTCAGTCCCAGTTATATGAAGAATGCAATTGCACCAGAACCAAATTGGGAATCACTTTTTTTCTTTTTACTTTATTACACTTGCCTAATAGTTTTTGAGAGGAAGAATACTCCTGGAGCTCTGACTTTGGGGTAGTGGCCCAAACGTTATAACCTCAGTAAAATCCTGCCAACTGCTGTTCCCCTCCTGTGCTGAGCACTCAGGTAGACACACCAACAAAAAACCCAGTGCAACCGTAACACAGAACAAGAAGGCAAACTGGAAGAGGAGGCGCACATTGGCAGTGAGGGTACACTACAGCCATGCAGCCCCCCTCAGGGTGACGTCCCTGACAGCTAAAGGGCTGCTTCTGAATACCTCCTGTACTTATTCAAGCTATGAAAAAAGTCTCAAAATTTCTGAAAACCTGCTGATACTACAGTGCTGAAAGGAATTTGAATACTCTCGGAATGTTGAATACTCATTGGAACAATAAAGAATTAAAAGAGAAGACGAAATATCACCTTCAGCTGTTGAAAAAGGTATCTGATCTGGAAAAAGTTTACAGGGGCAAGCAAATAGGAAATGAAATATGGAAAAGAGAACATAGAATACTAAGGGACCTTGAGACAAAAAATAACTTTGCTAATGTTATGGTATATCTATATGACTCTTCAAGAGAAAAAGTTTACTGATGTCAGATTTGAATCTGAGTGCCCTTACCTATCAGAGAAAGTGAACTGAGGCAGGAAGTAAACTAGAGAGATTCTTCAGATAAAGGAAGGATTACAGAAACGGGGAAGCAGATGATCTACAGAGGCGTGCTCTCACTTCCAGCTCAGAAGTGTTTCTGAGTAGACAAGATCTAAGACTTTTAAGAAAAGAATAAAGCAATAGCTAAGACACACACATATTCCCTTCAAAAGCTTTCCCCCTCCATGTTCCCCGCCTGCTATACATAAGGAGGTAAATAAGCATTATGTTGGTTTTCAGACTAAACAGCCATTAGTCATAATTCCCAGAGAACTTTGCTTGCAAGTACCAAGCATAACTAGGACTACATTAACACAGTTGGACAACAAGGGAAACTGTGCTCCAGAGAGATCAAGGGCCAAGAAAGGTTGCACTGTGAGTTTCTATCCTTCTGAGAAATGAAGGAAACCAAGCAGTCACCTAAGGGCAAACTTACTTACACTGTCTTTGATGCAGTTTCCCCTTTGCCTGTGACACCGCCCACACACCCAGATATTTCAGAAGACATCACTTATTTGTGCAAAACCATCAGGCATACAGATCTTCATTTTACATCAGTGTTACTATTAGATCACCTGCTATTCACAACTCTACTCTGGACATTCACTTTCACTGCCTTCCGCAGGCACCAAACCCATTCCTTCTTTACAAACATGAATTCACAGCCACTATCTGTTTTTCTTCATAGCTTATTTCCCCACTATTATTCACTCATCTGTTCCCTGCATAGATATGTATTCTACCACTCCTGTTTATTCTATATGACTGAAACATGCAAATCCCTCTCATTTCTGGAAAGCAGTATCTTCACTCCCAGAAAACAAATCCACACATTAACCAAGGCACATCCTCCTTACTCCACACCCACAAAACACGTAAGACCCAATACTACTGCCAGGCATGAAACAGATTCCAAACAAGGAACAATTAAATAATCTGTAGCTCTTCAGTTTGGAAAGTTGACAAATTAAGGTGGGGGGAGGGTACAACAGAGATCTATCAAACCATCCTGCAGCAGTGAAGATGAAGAGACGATCAGATGTTCAATACAAGAACTACAGGGCACAAAATGAAGCTGGTAGGAGTCAGGTTCAAAAAAGGTAAGAGGTGGCAGTTCTTGTGTAGTTAATCCGTGGAACTTGTTGCCCAGGGTGTTGCAATGTCAGAATATGTATAGTTGAGGAGGAGACAGGAGAAGTTCAAGGAAGAGGGATCAACTGAGTATTCCTGAATACAGAGGAATTTGGCTCATGAAATTCCTGTATTAAAAATGGTTGGGGGTGTGTGTTTGGTCACCGTTAGACACTGCACCATATGGACCTTTGGTCAGACTGTAAATCTGGTTTTGATCTCATGCAATAAGTAAGATCAAACACAGGAAGTTTCTTATTAAAGTGAAAGAACATTTTTCACAGTATGACTGACCCAAAAAGTGTATTTTTAATCTACACGATAGGATATTGAATTCATATATAAGAATTAATACAGTAAATGTGCAAGGGTAATTGAAGCAATACCTAAGCTGCATTTTGTGTAGGACACAAATCTCCCTTTGACTAGAGGCAGAAAACAGAGTATGAGTAAATATCCCCTAAACATATAAAATACCATCATTTTTTTGGAAAAGTAATGCAAAATCAGTGAAAAATGATCGTAAGATAAGAGGACAAATAGGTAAAAAGCACGGTATTTTGAAGAGCTCATTTCTGGAGTGCTTGGAAATTGCAAAAAAATTTGTATTTAATAATTATTTCAGGAAATTTCACATTGCTTAGTTATCTCATAGCAAATAATTTTTTCCAGATGCTTTCCATGTTTCCCTATTTCTCCCACTCCCAATTTGCTTCTTTCTCAAGTTTCTTTCTTAGAGCAAACATTTGGCTCTAAAAAAAAATCAAGAAAGACCGGCCAGAAAAATCCGCTCTATGCAGTTTGTACAGTGCCCCTGCTCTCCTTGCAGAAAAACAGTTTTAACTGCTGAGCTGCTGACATTGTTTATTTAGATTTATATACACCAACTACACTACAGCTGGACTGAAGATGGGTAAAAATAGCACGCACCCCACAAAATGAATATATGAGTTCATCTCCATAGGTATGTATTTTTAAAATGCAATAGTACTGTTTGTAATGTTACTATAAAAGCTTCACGTACAACACACTCATATATGCAGATAATTAAAATATATACAACATCAAGCTTATTCTGGACTTTTTTCCTTTTATAGAAATGTCAAGTATTCACTTCTTTCACAGCAAATTTCTCATTTTTCCGACATGAGAATATACAAGTACTTCTCCTCCTTTAAATACCTGAAAAACTTGAATAAACTGTGCTTCTGATGTTAAAAATAGCATTGGGTCTATTTATGACATTGTTTCCATAAAATCCCAGTTACCAGGTCTCTGAGACATTTTTATAGGTGTCCTAGACTAGAATTGCTTCTGTTAAATCTTCCTGCCTAAACATCAGTTATCCAATGTAGTAAATTTTAAACAGCATTTCAAAGGACATCGTAGCTCGTTCTAAAATTAGAATTATCTACAAATCTCACACTAGGATAATTTTATTAATCATTGAAATGTTGCTGTTAGTAGAGAAAATTTGTGGCAATTTGTCTAACAACAGCCATCAAGAAATGTGTCCATGTAAAATGGAGAGAAAATTGAATTATATTCTATATTATTAACTTTCTAGATAAGCTATGATAAAATTGGCAGTGTTCAACCGCTATGACCTACCATTCCATCTTGAACTGAACTTCATACTCTCTTTCTTTAATAGCATTGTATTCATTTTGGCAACTAAGCAGTTGTTGCCTTATTCGGGAAACTTCACTGGAGGATTCTTCAGGGAACTGTTCTGCTTTTTCCAGTTCATGTTGTTGTTGTTCCAGTTCTACACTAAGACGTTTGGCTTCCTGCAACAGCTGGATCTCAGATTCCTGTAAACTACATTAAATAGAAAAATTTAGAACTAGGCAATGAGAAGCATAAGCTTTGTATTTATACTTCTTTATCTACCTATAATATTTAATTCAAGGTTTTCAAGATGAGATGCAATTAAGTCCTGAATAATCTGGTCTGACCTCCAAGGTGACCCTGTCTTGAACAGGAGGTTGGACCAGAGACCTGCTGAGGTCTGTTCAAACCTGAATTATTCTATGATGCCTCAAGAGCAGTGGAATCTGATGTGAGGGATTTTTTTTCTGCATCCTAGAGTTGGAGCAGGATTCATCTCATCTAATTTTAACCAGACAAAAGATGGTTAGTTGGTCTAATTTCTTTGTCTAGCACCTCCCAGAACCAAGGAAGAGACAGGGAATCTGTTTTATCCTAACAAGTGCCGAAGTGTAGATCTGAATCAGCGTGGGGACGTACTCACCAGAACAAGGCCCAGTCTGGGCTCTATGACACCTTTAAGTTCTTAGTAAACACCAGGACACCTACCCAGTGCTGAACTGCACATTGCTATTGTTGTAGTATTACCAGTATCTGAGGTAACTCATTTAACGATACGCAAGCTGCAAATACATTTGTGGACTTCTGTGGAAGCTTATTATAAGGCCTGTAGACATGATCAATTATCTGATCTGACTTGTATCGTTGAAGTCTAGCTTCACAGAAACAACAAACTGTAATATTCTGTCAATGCATGGAGACTGATATTCATAATATACTTAGGAACCTGTGTGGTGATAGCTGAATAACAGATTTTAAAATCTGTTAGTAAAATACTTTGATTAGTATGGAAAAGTATTAAAGGGAACTACAGTATGAAAATTCATATACGATACTCAACATATAAACCTATTCTTTATGCTGTAGAAATCATTGTGTATGTCTTCTCAATATTACTACATTATAAGTTTTGTATAATGGTATACAAAAATTACTCACAAATGATGTGGAAGAATAAAGAACTCTATCACTTGCCTTTTATTAATTAAAAATATAATGCAATTTAATATTTTTTTAGAACAAAGGAATTTAGAATCTCCCATATGGAGAAAATCTATACATAAATTTTAGCTCAAAGATGACATTTATGGCTTAGCAACAAAACCAAAATTACATATCACACTGAAGAATAGAGTTGAGATGGTAACTATGAAAACACAAAAGATACAACTGACTATACAGCATAAACATAGCTGAAATAATACAACAAGAAAAGTTTTGTTTTGAGTAACATTTCTATTGAATAACCACTTCCTTTTTTAAACTAGAAAATAAGAAAACCACAGACTTCAACAGGAAACAAGAGTGTGCCTTTATCACAAAAAAATAACTTCATATGTGAGGTATTTAAATAGTAAATTTTTAAGAGAAAAATAAATTGACTTATCGACACAAGATCCTATAAAATATTTAGATCTTCTTTAAGTCCAACAGAATGTATGCTATTTTAGGAGAAAATGTAATTGGTTATAGTAATACACATTCATTTCAAACATAATTCTTACATAAAAGATAAATTTTACATAAAATTACATAAAAACATAAGTTCTTTCATAAAAACAAAATTCTTAGTATTGATTTTTTCAAGATAATAAAAAGATAAAAATAGAAACAAGATCTGAGTGTTGAATCTAGACCAGATCTTGCTCACTATGGTTGCCAACAGTATTTTTTCATGTGAACATTTAAATTTAATTGAAGACAATGAAAAAATAACTGGATATCTACACAATGTACATATCTAGAAACACTTAAGTACAAAAGTAGGCTTTCCAAGTCTGATGTGGCAGCTATTGAATTTGTGCAGTGATTAATAATTTAACATGCTTAAGAAGATAAGATTCCCAAACTACCAATGAACTATCATTATTACCTGACTTTCTTATAGCTTGGTGTATCAGAATATTCATATTAGATTCCTAAATTGAGATAATAAAAATTTACAATTTGGCCCCTTGATTGTGTGACCAAATGGGTTTTCAGGGGCCAGATATGAGCTCAGGTACATCAGCTTTATGTGCAGCCTCACTGCAAAGTGGATGGGTGAAACAGCACCCGAACGAGATGATAGCCTGTTCCCAGAATTTCAGCTGTGCAGCAAACATAAATTCAAAATAACATAACACTTTGAAGAAATGTATCAAAGATGTTATCTGCCAGGTGACAAGTCTCAGCTTTCCAGAATGCCAAATTGTGCAAAACTGAAACCAAGAAATAAAGAACTATTTACCACTAAACAAAAGGACTACACTGTACACTTGTCATTCTGTGTACTCTAGCAACAGCCTTGGAAATCATCTGCATACATACTAGTTGCATTCATCATATTAGACAAATTTGTATTGTGTACCAGAGAGATCAGTTGCAATCATTTGGCATAGCTGTCCAAGGCATCTACACAGCTTAAGATGCATAAGACTTTCTCCTTGAAATTTTTGTATGCATCTAAAGGAAAGAACACACACAGCTTGAAGACCTCATCCGGTGTCATTTGTTTCCACATGGCATTGTAACAGCAGTGGGACAGATGGGAGTTAATTAGGAAAGAGATTAAATTCAACTGTAATAAGTGAAAAAAGTTCTTGATACACAGAACTGTACTGCACATGCAAGGGTGAAGAACTAAAAATTAAAAAGTGATATTGATTCTGTGAATGGCAGGAAAAGAGTATACAGACATACTGAACATCATGACTCTATAGCCAACGGCGAAAACCAGACACTTGCAGGTATCCATATAAGGAGGAAGTGTGTGGTCCCTATTTTGTTCTATTGACTGTTAAGGGACTCTAGATACCTAATTCAGATGTGCATGTCTCCTGATGTTAACACATGGGCAAGTGAATCCCACATTTGATGTCTGAAAAGTCCTTAAAATATACCTGAGATCACGATCGGTTTTTGGTAATTGATCTCCTTTGCTTTTAGCAGTAAGAGAAATCTGTCTGGGGTAGTTAGTACTTGTTCATGCACTGGCATATTGCTTTGACAACTGACCACATCTAAGTAAAGAATGTGACTTGATTCTCTCAGATCAACTTTCTTACAGAAGTATGGCAATTTTGTACTCCTGTGACAACCATGGGAAGAATGAGAGATGTAATCAACCATCTGACATTTTCATGCTTTTGGTGCATGGTGTTTACGGTAGTTTTATGTGTGACAGAAAAGACAGCTGAGTTCTGGTTTTGTTCAGGCCATATTCCACTTATACATACAAAGGAATTGTCTTTACATAAAAGAAGGTTCTATATAAATATATAAAATATGTAATAATATGCTTGTATTTTTTCCACCAAAGACTGGTTTCAAACTCACACTGGCTAAAAGTCAAGTTCAGCAGCTAGCAGATTTCTACTTCACCTCAGTGAACAGCAGTGTGGTAGAAACTTTCTCAATCAACTAGTACAAAACCCACATAATATGTTGAGTTCTAAGCATTAAGAAAATGCTTAAGGCAACAATAAAAAGGGCTTTTTTAA